GGCATAATCCCTTTATTATTGTTTTTATAAAAAACACATTTGTTTATTAGTGGGTTAATGTTTACAGGGAAAATTGTGGGCCTTTGTTAGTGAGGTACCAGAAGGGGTTTACAGATATATATCACCTGTACAACAGATATTGTATTGAATGCTTATTGACGCAACTATTAGGATTTGCAAAGTTAGAGCAAAATCGGGTTATCGTTTCTCTTTCTGTGCAAAAAATACTCTTTTTTCAAATTTTGACGTTTTGTGGGGGAGGTACCAGAAGGATTTTATCGATGTATTCCAACTTGGCACCAGACCTTGGGTTAATACAATTATTGTGAAATTTGAAGACAATCGGACTCTTACATCACATTTTATAAGAGTTGTAATTATTCAAAATTTTGACCCTTTGTGGAGGATGTGCTTGATGGAGTGGACCGATATTGTCCATTTTCGCATCTGACCTAGAAATGACGCAAATATTAGGATTTGCAAAGTTGGAGTTAAATTGGATTATCGTTTCTCTTTCTGTGCAGAATATATATTATTTGAAAATTTCGACATTTTGTGGGAGTACCAGAAGGAGTGGATCGATATTACCCATCTCCGAACTCGACAGACAGACGGACGGTGTACCTAGATCGACTCGAAATGTCCTGAAACGGATTTGGTCCAAAGAGACCTACGGTCTAAAACCCTTATTTAGACTTGACCGTATGAACAAATAGCCAAATGGCTGAGGGTATAAAAATAAATAAATAATAGTATCAGTCGGTTATGCCGACAGATGTATACCCTTAGCGTTGCGTTATGATTATTCAAACTGTAGACACTTAATGGGGGAAGCTCCGAAGAAGTGGACCAATATTGTCCATTTCGTCTCTGACCTAAGTGTGATATAAATATTATTACGAGCTATAAAGACTATTTTATATGATTCATGTGATATTTTTTAAAAAATGTGAAAAAATGCGACCGAAGTATTCCACTTAATAAAATTCTGATAAAATATTGGCATGTGCAAAATTTAAAGAACATCGAATATCTATTTCCAACTTTATGCCAATAAATGATAATCAAAATGTTTAACATTTGTGGGGAAGGTACCAGAATGAGTGATCCGTTAGATTCCATATTCACATCAGATCCCTGGACGAAAGAGATTTTTTGATATACCAGGTTTGAACAGAATTCCTGATTTGTTTTTCAAGTGATGAGAGATATAAATATTGACAATTGTGGCGGAGGCACCAAAGAGTTAGACCGGTATTTATTTATCTTCACATAATATTTTGTGTTAGTAAAACTATTCGCATATAATAAGAGATATAGAATTTTGATATGTTATGGGGGAGGTAAAAGAAGGAAAGGACTGATATATTTTATCTTCACAACAAATCTATTGCTAAAAAGTATTGGGAGGTGTGTTTTGAAGAGACTCAGGTGCTTATTTCGTATATTCTCAGATATATAATTATTCATAATTTTGAACCGTTGTGTGAGATATACAAAAATCAGTCCCATCTTCGCAACAGATTTTGTGTTGGTAAAAGTAATGAGATGGATGAAATTTGAGGACAATCAGAACCTTTTTTCAGATATTATGAGATTTATAATTTTTCAACATATTGACCATTTGTGGGAAAGGTACTTGATTGAGTGGAGCGATGTTGTCCATTTTTGCACCTGACCTAGCACTGACACTTATATCGGGATTTTTACAGTTTGAACAAAATTGGACGATCCTTTCTTGTTTTATTGGGTAAATTATTTTTTGTGAAAATTTTGATCTATTTACCAGAAGGACTGGACCGATACTGCCCATCTCCGGACGATCTAAGTTTGACAATAATATAAGTTTGACAATAATATAACGATGCACCAAGTTTGGATCGACTCCAAATGCCCTGAAACGGACTTGATCAAAAGAGACCTAGGGACTAAAACTATTATTTCGATGAGGCACGATTGGCTAAGGGTATACAAATCCATTACTTAATGTATTTAAAACCTATAAATTACTTTTCCAGGAATTTATTTTTGTTATATTGTTTTGAAGCACTATAAATCAGAATGATTAGGTGTATAAAATATCTTTGTCGTAAGTTTCTCCAAAAAGCTATAGAAAAAAATTTTCAGAATCACTGCGATTCGGTGTTAAAGAGTACTCTTTATCACTACATTTTTCTTTTAATCATAAAAAAAACAATTAAACAAATATCAATGTGATAACACTTACTTCAAAATACAATTATTACAGTTTGTTCCTTCGTCTAAAGATCGCCGATAATCAAAACTTCCTGATGCGAAATGTCTGGAATGAGCGATAAAATTGTGATTAAAACCCCAGTAAAACTATAGGTATTCAAAAATCATGACGGGCATTAAAATTGATCAAAAATAGCAAAAACACACGAATGAGATTAGTAAAGTAGCAACACAAATGCCATTATCAATTACGTTTGTGACTCACTTGCATTTATCAGTAATGAACTTTTGATGGGGCACAGTGTGGCCACCTTGCAATCAACCTTGCTATTTAAATTATTATTTTTTTTTTTTTTTTTTTGAAAAATCCATTAATACTTATTAAACAGAAGAGAAAAATGACAGAACCATATGTTCCAAATAGGTACGAACTGGGTATACATAGTAGAGAATGGAAGTCAACTTTTAATAACAGTACACGCCGATTTCTATTTTTATAACCTTTACAATACCATGACAAAAATAATAATAAATCTTAATAATAATAATAATAATTAATAATAAATCTTTCAAGTTTTTTCAAATGGTAAAGGGGTAGACCCGGTAGGACTTAGCTGTTTTTTAACTGTATTTTTTTTTTTTTTTTCATTACGAAAAGTCATTATGTTTGCAAAAATGCTAAATTGCGTTCTAATCCACTGAAAACTTGAAAGCCCAAATTTTTATAACCTCAGCCATATAACTAGAGATTTGTTCTAAAAGTGCCCATCGAAATAACGGGTTTAGACCCTAGTTCTCTTTGGGCCAAATCCCCTTCAGGACATTTGGAGTCGATCTAGCGATGACCGTCCTTCCATCTGTCTGGCTGGTTGGTGCACACGATTTCTTTGAAGGGAATAGCCGATTACATCGTATATTATTATCAAACTTAGATCGACGGGCAATATCGGTCCACTCTTTCCGGTACATCCCCCACAAAAGGTTGAAATTTTCAAAAAAATATATTTTACTTCACATAAAAAGAAATGAAAGTCCGATTTTTTTAACTTTACAAATCCAAATATTGAGAAAATGGAAAATAATGGAAAAATAAATATCCGATTGTCTTTAAATTACACACATCACTATATTTTCATAAACCCAAGGTCTGTAGTGAAGATGGTAGTTATCGGACCACTCTTTCTGGTACTTCCCCCTCATAGGGTTAAAGTTTTGCATAACTGAAACTATTTATTTCTACTAACACAAGATTTACTGTGAAGATTGGATATACAGGTCCACTCCTTCTGGTACCTCCCCCACGAAAGGTCAACATTTTGAATATCCGATTCCATTCAGACTTGGTACATCTCAATATTTCCATCTACATAAGATCTGTTACAAAGATTGTAGAGATCGGAACATTTCTTCTGGTACCTCAAAAAACGGCCAATGAAACCGTCACACGCTGCCCGAATGTTGCTCTGCGGTATTTTGGCCCATTCCCCGGCGCACCGCTTGCTTGAGGTGGTTCTGAGTCCTGTTGGAATGTCCAAGGTCTGCGGAATATTTTTTCAGAATATATTTTCAGAATATTTTCGCTTTCGGCCAAGCGAACAATTCTTTTGCTCTTTTGAGTCTATTTTCTTTCTGTAGCGGTGTGAGTTCTTGCACTTTTTGGAATTTCAATGGCTTTACCCCGAGCGCATTTTTCAATATTTGCGAATGGAATATAGCGATATCTTCAGCTCACGAACCATTTTTCCACGGGTTTCGGTCAAGTCGCTTCTTCTTTTTTTTTTTTGAACCATTTCTGCTGCTGTTGCTGTTTTCTTCCGTCCACTTCCTTGACGTGGGGCTACGCGACCAGTATCACGGTAACGAGCGATGGTACGAGACATAAAAGATGTATTCACATTTAAATGCTGGAGTGCTCTAACGATAGCCTCTTGTGGTTTTCCAGCCAAATATAAAGAAATCACACTATCACGCTTGAATTCCATCACGAATAACTTTTTTCTGAAAAATTCTCACCAAAATGCTTTTGTACGCTTGTAAACAATATAATGAGCTGTCACTGGAATAATTTTAACAGCTGTCGGTCGAGTGGCTTAGAAATGACAGCAGTCTGAAGTTGGTTGCAGTTTTTTCATCTCACCCGGTATATCTGCCAACCCCTCAGCCACAAAGGGCCACAATTTTCAATTTTATCATAGAATACAGAATTTATGATTTCGCATTCGGATATTAATGTCCGAATTTCTTGTAATGTTGCCCATACCAACATACCAATCTGGTACATCACGCACATTTAAATATTTTCTTGAAATTATTACATATCCTATAAAAGAATTTAAACCCAATGTTTTTAGCGCAATTCAAATATCTCGGAATTGAAGATTTTCCATAACCGTTTACTTCCATTTCAAAATTGTTGCCAAGTTTTCAGCTTTTTACATTACTTATTGGCAACATTGGCTTTATCAGTTGTTTTTCTTGCAAATAGTCCCATTTAGCAACAACAAGAAAACCAAATCAATGGATTTGAACTTTGACCTTTCAAATGCCAATGCAGATGCATGCATAGGTTTATTATCGTGGGTAAACTTCCACGTACCCATGCCATGCTCTCGCCATACCATCGATGATTAACTAATAAAATCGACACACATCGACAAATACATGAATACAAATTTCAACTCAAACACATTTTCATACTCTCAACGCCGGTTTTGTGGAGTCATTCATTCAAAGACTTTGGCTAGACGATAAACAAACCAAAAAAAAAAAAAACAAAACCGAAAAAAGCTCTCTTATATTTGGTGGGTTGCTAACAAATGCCCATCGTCAGTTTCGGTTTGACAACACAACACAACAATAGACGAGAACGACAAACTTAATTTTTAGTTATTTTTGTACTCTCCATTTGATAACAACAACAGTTCGGTTTATTCGACAGTCGATTAGAAGCCTAGAATAGTGTAAACTTTGCAATGAGTGTTGAGAGATTGGACGCAATAATTTTCGGTGCCACCGGTTTTACGGGACAAGTTGTGGTCGAAGATGCCGTGGATATATTTCGGGACTTCAAATGGGGCATTGCCGGAAGAAATGAAGTAAATGCCAAACTAAATTTGCTGTTGTCCCATTCGAACCTACTTAACTAATTCACTTTCCCCCTATCTTCTGCAGTCTAAACTCAAAGATGTTTTAGTGAAAGTTGGTAAACGCACCCAAACAGATTTGAGTCATATTCCCATTATTGTGGCCGATGTCAATGACCAAAAGTCAATAGAGGATATGGCCAAGAAATGCAAAGTAAGTTGATGCAGAATTTGTAATATAGTGAGTGAGAAAAGAGAATGCACAGTGTTCGGAAACTATAAAAATGTGAAATTTACGCAAACTGTCGGAAGTAATATTTGAGTTTGTTCATTTTTTAATACCCTCCACCATGGAAAATTTGTCATTCCGTTTGCAACACCTATAAGTATTCGTCGTAGACCCCATAAAGTATATATATGTCCAGCATGAATTCTAAGTTAATTTAAATATGCCGGTCTCTGTCTGTCTCTCTGTGGAAATAACTAAACAGATCACATTGTTTGACGTTGGTTGGTACGATATTTGGTATTTAAATGATTTTTGCCACATTTTTTCACGGAATTGGAATTTAGTATTAAGAGTTTGTAGTGGGTTCTACCTCTGGTGGCAGAACATTGTTTATATAGGCACACGTTTTTCAATAGCCCCAATATAACGGTATCTCCCGATATTCGGTATTTTAATGATGTTCCACACATTTTTCTCCGAAATGTTTCCAAATTTGGTATAAGGTGGCGGAACATTCTATATATAGGTCGACATTTTTTCATCTTTTTATTTATAGCGACAATACAACGGAACCTCTACATACCTTGTTTATAGTTTATATTATATTCTGCAAACGGGGTCAGAATATTGTCTTCATTTGTCCACGTTTTCCACATAACGGCACTCAAAAATATTTTTTTCCAATCCAATGTTTTTTCTTGTTTTAAAACATTTTGCCCATTCGGTCCTAGATTTGACAAATGAAAACATTTGTTGTAAAATATTTTTATGTCAGTGAAACGATATTGTATTTCTGATTTTTGTACTAAAAAATTTTGAACGAAACTTCAGAAACCCAAATAAAAAACAGAAAATAAACAAGTTGAAAAGCATTAAGTTCGGCCGGGCCGAACTTTGAATACCCTCCACCATTTGAAACGAATTTGGAATGTTCAAAAAATAAAATGCTTAAAAAATTATTGGGGTCTACACCCAATAGGCATTGTTTGTTATAAGCCATTACCATATTCAAATTCGAAACTTGAAATAAACGATAAATAATGTAGCTAAAATCATCAAAATATCGTATATAGGGAGGTAACGTTATATCGGAGCTGTGCGCAGACCTAGACCTGCATAGACAATATACTGTCACAGACTGTAGTTTCCATTACGAACTCTAAATACGTAATTTGAAATAATTCCGGTGAATAATGAATCTAAAATCACCAAAATACCGAATATTGGGAGGTACCGTTATATGGCTACAATACGAACACGTGGACCTGCACAGACAATTTTCTATCATAGGCTGTAATATCCATTACGAACTTCAAATACCAAATTTGAAACAATTCCAGTGTGATTACAACAGACGGAATCGACTTAGAATTTTACGCTGATCAAGAATATATATACTTTGTTGGGTCTGACATGAGTATTTCGTATGGGGGAGGGTATATAAAGAAAGAAAGTTGCCGACTATATGGTGTACTATGCGTATTTAGCAGTGGTGCCCGCGTGAAGTAATTTATAAACCTTCCCTTTGAAATAGAATGGAACTAAAGGGTATTTTTATGTTGTATTAAAATTTTTGTACCAAAAATCATTGCCGAACCGATCTCGACAAAATTTGCCAAAGGTATTTCCAGGCTGTATCTGGAAACTGTGGCCAAGACAATGGACATTTTTTTGACAGTACAAAGGTACGCATTTTCAGGAATTTATTTGACAGAAAGGAACGATTTTGTTCAACTGTATGAATTAATCATTATCAAATAATTCTACTGGCTCAAATAATCAAAATACTTTACATCGGGATAGTCCGTTTTATGGACAATTATCTATTGTAGAAGGTAGAAACCACTCTCAATCCTCATTAGCAGAACTCGAAAATGTAGCTCTATTCCTACACAAATATATAAAATAAATAAATATTCAGAACTTAAGTACATATTATAATACGCGTTTCTGAATTCACCTCCTTATCTAAGTAACAGTTATACACTTTATTTCATATTTAGTCCAATTTAATAAATACTTTTCATACACCTTACAGTAGGAATTTTAAAATTCGACTTCTTATCCAAACGCATCGCAATTTTCCTAATACAAAATTAACAATACCACTTCTATTCCCATACTATACGCCAAATTCAGTACCATTTAGTACTTTCGGTACCCTTTTGTACCCTTTCCAGACCTATTTCTTTCCTAAAATTTTAGCATTCCAGCTTTTCTCCATTCAACCAAAACAAATTTTGTACCATTTTTTATAGTTCTTATATCAACCCTATTTCTTAAACATGGGTTTTACATCAAATCTCTTACCTTACCTTTGTCCAAATTTGATGCATTTTAGTACTTTTGCTAATATCCTAGACCTTCATTCCAAATTTCAGATTTCCATCTCCATTCGTTCCCTAATTATCATAACATAATACCATTTAGTACTTTTCTTACGTTTTTCAAAATCAACATCCAACTATCAAACCCACTTCACAAAAAGTGACCCTAATTCCTATTCAGATTTCCAGATCTAGTACCATTTAGCACTTTTCGAAGTTTTTAGTGCATTAGTCCTTTCCTTTCACATAATAAGAAATTGTACCAAATATAGTACATTTTAGTACACTTTTAGTTCCAATTTGAAAAAAACATATTAGTTCATCTATCCTAAGCCCCATCAGCCTTCATCCCAAATTTCGGAAATTTGCATCTATCCAATAGGATTCAATTTTCAGCCATATCCATAAAACATAAAACATTTTCTCTTTTTTTTTATGAAAAAAAAAATACACATATAATTGTCAGGGCTTACCTTATTAATTCTACTATGTATCATTGATGCAAATACAAATCATCTGCATAAACTTATTACATTTTACAAAATTCTCGCAATTTTCTCTGACTTACTGGACTTTTGAGTTATCGAACAACTTCCATTAATAATTTACATAGTTTGAGCAATTTAATGGGTTATCATTCACACCTAAGAGATCCACTTACGCTAATTATTACAATTACAAATAAATACATTTATGGAAAATTTAAACAGTTATGAAAGAGTAAATAATTGATTATTGCCGTTTTTATTACAGATCGTTTTGAATTGCTGTGGACCTTATCGCTTCTATGGCGAAGTTGTGGTTAAGGCTTGCATTGATGCTGGCACCCATCACGTTGATGTCAGTGGCGAGCCACAATATTTCAATGGAATGCAACTCAAATACAATGACTTGGCTCAGGAGAAGGGATCGTATGTGATATCTACATGTGCCTTTGAAAGTATCCCCGCCGAATTGGGTGTTCAATATGCCGAAAAGAATTTTCCAGGTAGGTTTCAATAAATGTATGGCTGCATTGAACATATTAGTTAGATACAACACCATTTATCGACAGTCGAACTTAAAGGTACCAAAGTAACTAAAAGAGGTACTAAAATCTGTGTCGTGGTATTGGGTTAAAGCTAAATTTAAAATTTGGAAATAAGTCTAACATACTATACTAATAGTATGTTATGCATGCAGTATGTTAGGCATGCAGATTTTTTATACCAAAGATTTAACTTAATTATTATACCCTCCACCATACATAAAACGGAGGGTATATTAAGTTCGTCATTTCGTTTGCTACTCATCGAAATAATGATTTTAGACTTAACAAAGTATATATACTCTTGATCAGCTAAGACGATTTAGACCTGTCGGTCTCCACATCTGTTACATTTTTTTAAAAAAAAAATATTGAATGAAAGCAAAAAATGTCAGAAATATCATAGAATTTTAGAATAAGTTTAGATTTGTTCGAATTGGTCACCCTTGGAACGAATAACGGCCTTCAAACGGCCAATGAAACCGTCACACGCTACCCGAATATTGCTCTGCGGTATTTTGGCCCATTTCAGGGGAAGCGCTTGCTTGAGGTGATCGACCCTTGGGTATTATTTAGTGCCAACCTTGCTTTTGAAAATACTCCAGACACAATAGTCAAACGGATTGGTATTCGGAGATTTTGGTGGCCATTGTGTGCTGGAAATGAAGCGAGGAACCTCATTTTGTAACCATTCTTGGGTGGCGCGTGCTGAGTGCGATGATGCTGAGTCCTGTTGGAATGTCTAAGGTCTGCAGCAAAAATGTTTGCGTGCCCAAGGCTTTAATACACCCTCCAAAATATTTTCTCAATAATATTCAGTATTTAATCCGACGCACGGTCGATTAATACGAGCGGAGAGTGACCATCGGCTGTTATGGCGGCCCACACCATCACCATGGCCGGCGCTTGAGTTCTGGTGGCCAACCGAAGGTGCACATTTTCAGCCGACCTTTTTGGCAAGTAAACATGATTTTGTTGTTTGCAAACTGCAGGACAACGAATGTTTTCTCATCGAAGAAAAGCAAATTCGGCAGGGCACCACTTTCGGCCAAGCATTGCGGTGTAAGTTATTGCACTTGTTGGAATTTCAATGGCTTTACCCCGAGCTCAATTTTCAATATTTGCCGAATGGAATATTGCAATATGTTCAGCTCACGAACCATTTTTCGGCCACTGCGACGCGGGTTTCGATCAAGTCACTTCTTTACTTTTCAAACCAATTCTGATGATGTTGCTGTTTTCTTTCGTCCACTTCCTTGACATCGGTCTACGCTACCAGTATCACGGTAACGAGCGATGTTACGAGACACAAAAGATTTATTCACATTTAAATGCTGGAGTGCTCTAACCATAGCCACTTGTGGTTTTCCAGCCAAATATAAAGAAATCACACTATCACGCTTGAATTCCAACACGAATAGCTTTTCTTCTGGAAAATTCTCACCAAAATGCTTTTGTATGCTTGTAAACAATATAAGGAGCTGTCACTGGGATAGTTTTTAGTATCTGTTGGACGAGTGACTTAGAAATGACAGCAGTCTGAAGTTGGTTGTAGCTCTTCATCTCACCCTGTGTATATACTCTTGAGCAGCTTAAAATTCTAAGGAAATTCAGCCCTGTCTGTCCGTCCGTCTTCCCATCTATTGTAATCACGCTAGAGTATACAAGTACGTCAATTTCGGAGATAGGCTATTGGTCCACGATATCGTAATGACTTACAACGGTACCCTTCGATATTCGTTAATTTGAGGATTTTAGCCCCATTTTTAAATGGAATTGTTTAACAATCCTAGATCCATATCTGCGTATAGTTCTTATCGGGTGGGCTTCTCCATTGTCAAATTGGCTTTGTAGATTAGGAACTTATATATGAGGCCAGAATTTTTCTTAAATTTCCCCCCTTTCTTCTTAATTTCAGGAACTGTAAATTCAGTGGAACTTTATTGGGAATCCAAATACAACTACCAGGATAAATCATCGAAGGCCATTTTGCATACCGGTACATGGGAGAGCGCCATCTATGCTATGCAACACGCCAAGGAAATGTTGTCTTTGGAGAAAAAATTAAATAGTGAGAAAATGCCGAACTTGAGTCCAAAGTTGTGGATGAGGTAGGAGACGCATTTTAAATTTATTAATCCTGGACATTTATAATATATAACTTAGTGAAGATTTAATTTTTTTACATAAATTTCTTGCAGACCTTATGCCCATCAAACCGAAGGCTTAAAGAGTTATTTTGCCCCATTCCCACTTACGGACCGTGCCGTTGTACAAAGGTCCCAACGATTGGCCTATGTGTACGAAAAGAAACGGCCAATTCAATTCGAAATGTATATTGGTATGAAGTAAGTACATTAAAATTAATGGAGAATTTCGAGTCTCAATTTTTTCATTATTTTATCAGATCACTGTTGATGGCCCTTCTACTGCCCGTATTTATGTTATTCGGTGCGATAATGGCTCAGATTGGTTTTACACGTAAATTACTATTGAAATATCCTCATATTTTTTCGGGTGGTTTGATGACCCATGAAGGTCCCGTTGAGGCTAATAGAAAAGCCATGGAATTCCGTTTTACCCTAAAAGCCAAGGGATGGACTACAGGCACACCAGAATCTGCTGCCCCCAACAAGGAAGTTGTGGTTCGTGTTACTGGAAAAGATCCGTGCTATGGCATAACTAGTTGTGCTCTACTGTTCTGTGCCAAAACCATTTTGAAGGAACAAAACAAAATGCCCGGAAAGTAAGTGTAAACGATGGGGATTTATATGTTGAATTATACTATTAACCTGTAATGCGTTGTTTTTACAGGGGCGGCGTTTTACCACCAGGTTTTGCCTTTGCCAAGACAAGTCTTCTGGAAGAAATTGGCAGCTATAAATCCGGTTTGAAATTTGAAGTTTTGAATCAATAAATTATTTTATTACAATAAATGAGTTTTGTTTTGTATATAAATATGTACGTATATTGGAACTGCAATTTTTTTGAAAATTCCAGAGTATGTTGGGAGTTTTTCTTCTAAAAGCTTTATAATCTGAATTTTGGGATTTGTATTAAGTAGTGGAAGCATGTACGATGATGTTTATAAGGGTTGAAATAATATTTACTGCCATATTTCAACACATATGCAGTCCTTGCGACTAAAAATAGTCTAACATTAACAAATTCAGAATTAATATAAACAATTAAAACAAATAATTGTTATTAGTTTTTTTACATAGTCGTTGAATGCTCCACACATGTGTCAACTATGCAAGCTATGGTGGAAACACAGTGAACTTGGATTCACATTGAACTTGGGTTCTTTCTTCGCTTTATAAAATTCGTCATTATATAGGTGATGTCGTCATTATATAGATTCTAGAATTTAAGCTAACTGAATTTTGTTAAAAACAAGTAAAAAAAAGTTCGGCCGGGCCGAACCATAACTTTAGAAACATAATGACCTACAAATACCGATTTTTAGACAAATCCCCGAAAAATGTGGCAAAAATCATCAAAAGACCGAATATCGGGAGGTACCAAATACCAAAACGTGGACCTATACATAAAATGTTTCGCCACCGGAGCTAGAACCATTGTGACCTACAAATAACAATTTTTATACAAATCTGTGAAAAAATGTTACAAAAATCATCAAAATACCGAATATTGGGATGTACCGTTACCGTTGGGGGCTATACCAAAGCGGGGACTTATACATACAATATTTTGCCACCAGAGCTAGAACATATTGTGACCTACAAATGCCAATTTTAAGACCAATTTGTAAAAAATGTGACAAAAATCATCAAAATTCCGACTATCTGATAGTACCGTTATACGAGGACTGTATCAAAACGTGGATCTATACATATAATGTTTCGCTACCGGGGCAAGAACCCATTGTGACCTACAAATACCAATTTTAAGACAATCTCATATATCTATTTATAACAGATTTTGTGTTGAAAGAAATATTGAGATGTACCAAGTCTGAATGGAATTAGATGTTAATATCGCGTTTTAGGGGTCGCTTGTGGGGCATTTACCAGAAGGAGGGGACTGACATATCTCATCTTCACACCAGATCTTGTGTTAATAAATTTGTTTTGATGTGTGAAATTTGAAGACAATCAGATTCTTATATCACATTTTATAAGAGATGTACTTCAATATTTTGACCTTTTGTGATGGAGTGGGCCGATTTTGTCTATTTTGGCACCTGATATTTGGATTTCCAAAATCAGAGCAAAATTATCCTTTCTATTTGTAAATTCCGACCTCTTGTGGAGTAGGTACCAGAAGGGGTGTACCGATATCTCCGAACACGATCTAAGTTTGATAATAATATTACGATGTATCAATTTTGGACAAAATTGGATACTCTCTTAGAGAGTTATAGTTTGCACCAGCCTGACAGACAGATGAACGGACGGACAGAGCTAGGTCCAAAGACACATAGGGTCTAAAACCGTTATTTCGACAAGGCACGTTTTGACCGCATTAAATGATATATACCCTCTCTTGGCATATGACTGTGGGTTTAAAAAAAAAAGAAACAGGCACCAAAAACACTGTTCTCAAAGTATAATCACGTATATCAATAATATTTGTATATGAACATTTTCGATTTGAGTAAGCTGAGTAGTTTCACCCAAAGTGTGAAACGTCATAAAACGACAAGCATTGCGTCGATATTTGTGCATGATCTTACTAAACTCATGGAGGGCAATGGAAAGCTTATATTAAGAGATTTAGAGGAAAATTAAAAGGTCTTGTTCGTAATTGAAATTAAACCATAAATGTATTAAACTTAAGTTTCTATAGTTTTTTTTTTAACGGTGTCAGAACTCTTACAGGTAAAAAAACAGTAACTTCGGCCGGGCCGAACTTTAACTACCCTCCACCATTTGGAACGAATTAGGAATTTTTTCCAAAAAAAAAAAAAAAAAATAAGAATTAAAAAATTTTTCTTAACATTTTATAAATACCGATCGGAAGGTTCCGATATACGGGGATATACGATATTGTGGACTAATATAGATAATTCTATTTCTGGGGTAAGGTACTCCCAAAGAAATCCTTGTGTAGAAATTCAGACAATTCCATTAAAAACTGTGGCTAAAATCATCAAAATGCCAAATACCGGAGGGGTGGGGGTACCGTTATATGGAGGCTATACGATATCGTGGACCGATATAGCCCATTTTCGAACCTAACCTGCCTGCAGACAAAATATGGATCTGTGCAAAATTTTAGCTTCCTATCTTAATTCGATTTGCCTATAACGTGATTACAACAGACGGAATTAGAATTACGCTGATAAAAACTGACGAACTTAATATACCCTCCATACTATGTATGGTGGAGGGTATAAAAATTAAAATAAAAATGTTAGAAATCTAACCCCTTTCATTTATTACTGATGTTTGCAAACACTGACACATTACAAATAGATTGAATTCGCCTAAAATTATGTTCGGTTTTAACTTCACATTCTGCAGCACATAAAATTGAAAATGAAGCAGAGGTACAAGACGCGGGTCTTTGGCATAGCAGTAATCTGTTGCAGAAGTGAAAATGTACCTATAATATTATTTAAAAATATTTTCAAAAAATAATATCCGTTAAAAAATCTTTTAAAATCATAAAAATACCGAATACGTAGATTTACATAGACATTGTTTGTCATAAGCCATTACCATATTCAAATTCGAAACTTTAAATAAAAGGTGAATAATGTAGCTAAAATCATCAAAATACCGTATATATGGAAGTATCGTTATATCGGAGCTATACGAAGACCTGGACCTGCATAGACAATTTGCTGTCACGAACTTCAAATAAGACATTTCAAACAATTTCGGTGAGTATTGCTCCTAAAATCGTCAAACTACCGAATATAGATAGGTACCGTTATTTGGGGGCTATACGAAGACATGGACCTGCACAGACTATTTTCTGTCGTAGGCTGTAGTATCCATTATGAACTTCAAATATCAAATTTGAAACAATTCCGGTGAATAATGTCGCTAAAATTATCAAAATACCGAATATCGGGAGGTATCCTTATATGGGGGCGCTACGAAGAGGTGGGCCTGCATAGAAAATTTTCTGTCTTAGGCCGTAGTATCCATTACGAACTTCAAATACCACTTCAAAAACTATTCCGGTGAAGATGTCGCTAAAATCATCATAAATACCGAATATCGGGATGTACAGTTAAATGGGGCTATACCGAAACGTTGACCTACATGGCCCATTTTCAATACCAAAAGTTCTGCAGTACTTCAATGCAATGTACTTCAATTCGTTCGAAAGCTAGAGAGATTTCCACAGACGGACGGACATCGCTAAATCGACTTAGAATTTTACGCTGACCAAGAATATATATACTTTGTTTGGTCTAAAATGTGTATTTCGAGGTGTTACAAACGGAATGACAAACTTAATATACCCTCCATACTATGGTGGAGGGTATAAAAAACTTCGAAAAACAAAGCTTTATTTGTGAGAGTCTAATGTACTTCTGCTAAAGCCTCCACCACTAGGGAATGAAAATATTTTAAAATATATACACGAATGCACCTTTTCCGAAACGACCTAATTTACTTCGTAACAATTTTAAATTCCAATACGACATGAATTTTATTAAAAGCTTACTAATTTCAAAAAATAGTGCCTTGTGCATTATTTTTACATTTACATGTACCTATTACAGTGAGATACCTGTACAGTAGAGAATAATTAAATATGGATGGAATTATAAAACGTTAATTAAATATTTTGACTGGGTACATGAAAACTAATTTGTATTCCCACTGCCGATGCAGTTTTTTTTTTTTAAATATGCATTCAATGAAAATTGAAAAGCTCTCTCTCTCAGATTTTGTTGGTTGTGAAAAAATGCACTTCGTCTGTTTGACAACAGGGAGCCTACAACCAACCATAATTTTAGTTGTTTTTATTCCCTTCACTTGATAAGAACGACGCGTCGTGTAAATTTTACAATGAGTGTTGGGAAATTGGACGCTATAATTTTCGGTGCTACCGGTTATACGGGACAAATTGTGGTCGAAGATGCCGTGGATATATTTGGGGATTTCAAATGGGGCATTGCTGGAAGAAATGAAGTAAAAACGGGAATAATTGTGTTCTTGTGAGAATTAAAACATCAGTTTTCTTTCTTCTGTAGTCTAAACTCAAAGATGTTTTAGTGAAGGTTGGTAAACGAACCCAAAGGGATTTAAATCATATTCCCATTATTTTGGCCGATGTCAATGATCCAAAGTCTATTGAGGCTATGGCCCAAAAGTGCAAGGTAAGTTGATACATAATCTCTAGCATAATGGTATTGAAAATAAAAAGGGGCTCATAAGCTACTGAAATATGATAACTATGGAAAACTTTACAGCATGGTTTTTTTAAAGAAATCACATTTATACCCTACGCCACACTGTGGTCAGGGTATTAGGGCTTTGTGCACTTGTTTGTAACGCGTAGAAGGAAGCGAGATAGACCCATAGTTTCTTTTGATGATTTGCATGGAATCACATTCTGAGTCGATTTATGCATGTCCGTCCCTTCTTGCGTCTGTCCATGTATTTTTTTTTACACAAAGTCCAGATCGTATTTTTTTTCGATTGAGATGAAACTTTTCACAAATCATTTGTTTGGCCGACGAAGGACGAAGTCTATTTAATTGGTGATAATTGGTCCAAATTTAGATCTAGATCCCATATATATCTTCGTCCGATTTATATTTTCGTGTGCGCCAAATGTGTAATATTCGTCCAAATATATGTTTCAGCACATCCGACCGAATTCAGCCTACAAACAATTATAGAAAATCGGTTGATATATAGCTAAAGCTCCCATATATATGTTTTATGTAATATCAGCCCGAATTGAATTAAGTTTTTCGTATTTAACGGAATTTTTCCATTTGGCGTTTGCTCCAATAAATATTTTTTTATATAATCCCAAATTGTGACTTCTCTAAAGTCATAATACCCATTCAAATAAGGTTCATAGTTGGTGTGAACTACTTCACACAAATTCCCAATACAAACTTTTTTTTTACGGGAGCTCTACTAAATACGCATTGTGATGTAGGGTATCATATACTCAGGCCCGCCCGACGTTTGACATTTCCTTACTGGCTTTTATATGATTCTTGGTATCATTTTCACACAAGACATACCAGATCTCGGTATATCTATTTACAAAAAAGAAAGTCGTGTTACTATTATAACTCTATTTATTTAGGATACGGACATAGAATACTCTCTATTCCGTAATTGTATTAAAAATACTAAAAGATAATAAAAATGTCATCCATTGTATTGATCTAATAGATGGAGGTAGAAATCTGAAATTAGGAAAGAAGGTAGCTGAGTGTGTAGAATAGATACGCATAAGGATGTTTTTTAAATTCGAACTAAAAGGGTGCTGGAAAGAATTATATTTAGTTCCATTTGGTATTATATTAAAGGATAGAGCTAAAATGCAGGCATTTGGTGTAAGAATTAAGTTAGCGAACTACGGATGATTTAAAGTGGTAGTTTTTGAAATGCATACTAAGTGTAAGAACAGTACTAAATGGTACTAAATTTGGTACTAAATTTGGAATTTTAAAATTTTTATATTGATGTCACTTTAAGTATATAAGGTTGTGATTTGAGGTTGGTTTTGGAAATATGTACCATACAGTTCAAAAGTTCTAAATGGTACTAAATTTGGATATAGGAGGTAATCGGTATTAGTATCACTTTTGATGAAGTGGGTTTGATGTATGGAGGTGAATTTAGAAAAAAACGTTCCAAAAAGTACTAAATGGCATTAAATTTGGTATTTAGGAAAGGGATAGAGCTGGACATCAGACATTTGGAATGAGGTTCTTTGATATTGTATAGGATTGACGAATCAAAGGTTTTATGGAAATTCGAACAATAAGTGTAGCAAAAATACAAAAATTCACTAAATTTGTATAAAGCTAAGATAAGAAATTTGATATTAAAACCAAGTTTAAGAAATTGATTTGATATCAGGCGGTAGTTTTGGAAAAGTGTAAGAACTGTACTAAATGGTACAAAATACGATACAGTTTGGTTTTGAGAGAGGAAAATAAGTATAATTTTAAAATTTAGTATAACAAGTAAAATAGTATCAGTCAGTCCTGTCAACACCCTCAGTCTTCAGTTATGATTATTCAAACTGTTACCTCTTTATGTGAGAGGTTTCGAAGCAATTGGCCAATATTGACCAATTCGTATCTGACCTAAGACTGATATAAATATTACAACGTGCTAGATTTGGACTATATCGAATACATCTTCTACTTTATATGAGATATGTCCAAATTTTTGGAAAACGTGGAAATATGCCTGAGGTGCCAGATATAGCGGACCGAAATACTCCATTTTCTAATACAGATATAAACATTATTTATTGAATTATATATTGTTATTTGAAGGAAATCGAACATTCATATCCACTTTTATGCGAAATAAAAAATTTAGATAAATTACATATTCATATCAGATTTCTGGTTAAGAGAAATATTTAGAGACAAGTTATATAGAATCGCCGACTTGTTTCGCAGATATAAGTATTTGAAATTGCGACCCTTTGTGGGTGAGGTACCAAAAGGGTTGGCAGATATATAGCATATACACAACAGCATAGCAATAGCAAATATATTTGGATGTGTGAAATTTGAAGAGAACCATAAGCTTATTTCGCTGTTTTTGAAAATCTTGAGCCCTAGGTGGAAGAGGTACCACACCTTTTCAAAAGATGTTGTGTTGATGAAAATATTGAGATGTACCATGTCTAAATGGAACCGGGTTTTAATTTCGCGTTTTAAGAGCTTCATGGTTACTCAAAATTTTGGCACTTTGTGGTGGAGGCACCAGAAGGAGTGGGCCGATATATCCGATCTTCACACCAAATATTGTGATGTGCGTAATTTGAAGAGAACCTGATGCTTATTTAGGATTTTATGATCGTTTTGGTGATTGTAAACATCGACCCTTTGTGGTGGAGGTACCAGAAGGAATAGTCCGATTTCTACCATCTTTATAACAGATCTTGTGCAATAGAAATATTGAGATGTGCCAAGTCTGAATGGAATCGGCTGTAAATTTCGTAATTTAGGAGCTTAATGAATATTCAAAATTTTGACCCTTTGTGGGGGACGTACCAGAAGGAGTGGACCGATTTGTTGCATCTTCACACCAGATCTTGTGTAAATAAAAACATTGTGATTAAGACAATCGGATACTTATTCAAAATTTTGACCCTATGTGGGGGAGGTATTTGATAGAGTGGACCGACATTATCCATTTTCGCGCTGACGCAAATATGAGGATTCGCAAGGTTGGAACAAAATCGGATTATCTTTTCTCTTTCTGTGCACTAAATTCTTTTCTTTCAAAATGTTGACATTTTGTGTGGGAGGTTCGAATTCGACGTAAGTTTGACAATGATATTACGATGCACCGAGTTTGGATGAAATCAGATACTCCCTTCGAGAGTTAAAGTGCAGCCAGGCGGACATCGCTAGATCGACTCCAAATGGGTCTAAAACCGTTATTACAATGAGGCACGTTTTGGCCGTATCATATGATATATACCTTCTCTAGCCATATGGCTCAGTGTATAAAAAGCGAAGATAGCTCACATTTATATCAAACTTGAGTCACGTGGACAGTATCTCTTTCCTTCTCTCTAACCATAGTTCAAAACTTTGAAGGGCTCTCATTAAAAGCGATATGATTCTAGATTTTATCTAAGCTTCTTTACCGCAAAATTTCTACTTACATTAAATCAAATGTGATAATGTGATGTGTAGACTCACTCCTTTTGGCACCTCACTTCTCGCATAAATTCCAATTTAAACTTGAAAGATGTTTTGAAACCTAAATTGATCATGGGCGTATATCAATTCGACAAATACGGGCTGTTAATTTCAAACGTTTTAAAATTATTTTTTCCAGGAAATCCTGATTCTCCTATCAGATCGATTGGACATCCCTTGTTCTCTTAGTCTGGCAACGCAAAATATTCTTTTTAATTTTTAAAATCTAAAGTATGATACATTGTATTGAAAATGATCCAGTTTTTTTTTTCTGAAAAAAAAGTTCTAAATCAACTTTCAATACGCATTGTTGTTTTTTTTTAATAAATACAACATTGATTTATATTATAAGTTATAATCGCCATAAATAATTACATTAATATTTTATTGTTGAAAGTCCAATTGTTTGCAGTTTACTCACCTTGCTTGCCAGCAACAACAACAACAATTAGCAGAATTACTCAAATTAAAAGAATTGGAAAAATATTAATTACCGTTTATTGTTGTTGTTTTTATTGCAGGTCATTTTGAATTGTTGTGGACCCTACCGGTTGTATGGTGAAGTTGTTGTTAAGGCTTGCATTGATGCTGGTACCCATCACGTTGATGTCAGTGCTGAACCACAATACATCAGTGGAATGCAACTCAAATATAATGATTTGGCTCAGGAGAAAGGATCTTATGTTATATTGGCGTGTGCCTTTGAAAGCATCCCCGCCGAATTGGGTGTTCAATATGCCGAAAAGAATTTTCCAGGTAAAGTAGAACATATTTTACTTAAGCATGTCCGACAATGTATTTTTGCACCTAAAACGGTATAAAGGACTTTAGAGTGTCCAATTTTTAATTCTGGACTGGAATTGAAAAAATCAGCGTAAACTCATTTGTTTTTTTGCGAAAAAGTAAAGTGTGATTTGTTTGATATTATCTTTATGGCAACACTGGTTAAAACAGTCCACGTTCCGTATTTTGTTTCACCGTTGCAAAAATGCGTGTTCTGTTATGGAAATTGAACAATAGAAAAATTATGTTCAGCGATGAAGCTCATTTTTGGCTCAAGGTGAACGCTAATAAGCAGAATTGTCGATTTTAGAGTGAAAAAGCATTGCCAGAGCTACCAATGCATCCAGTAAAAGTCGTAGTTTTCACGGTTTAGAGGCTGTTGGCATCATTGGACCGAACTTATTCAAAGATGTTGGGAATCGTAACGTAACTCTTAATGGTGGACACTACTGTGAGATGACATCCTATTTTTTTTCCCAAAATGCATGAGCTTGACTTGCATGTTTCAACAAGGCGGTGCCACATGTCAGACAGGACGTTTAACTCCCTATTTTCGCGGGGGGCCATGTTAATGCTCATGTCTATACAGACGAGGCCGCTTCTATTGATGTATTGCAAGACAAAACTGAAGCATTAATTCGTGAGATACCGGTTGCATTTTGGAAAGAGTAGGCGCAGTCGCGGTCAACATTTGCATGAAATCATCTTCAAACATTTATACCCTCCAATAGTCTATGGAGGCTAATATTTCTGTCATTCTGATTTGTAATGTCGGCCCACGTTTTCCCAACGGTACCAAATATTCACCGGAATCGTTTCAGATTTCGTATTCAAAGTTCAGAGTCGGTACTACAACCTATGACAAAAATTTCGAATGCAGGTCCGTGTCTTCGTATAGCCCCTACATAGCGTTATCTATTTAAGCGGTATTTTTCGACGGATTTTTTTGAAATTGTTCAAGTTCCTTCCAAATGGTGGAGCATATTAAAAGTTCGACGCGGCCAAAATTAGCTGATTTTTCATTGTTCTAAATGCTATGCGTATTTTTATACCCTCCACCATAGAATGGAGGGTATATTAATTTTACTCAAATGTGCATTATGTCAGGACTTTGGGTATTGAAGATGGGTCATGTAGATCCACGGTTTGGTATAGCCCCCATATAATGGTACATCCCTTTTTTTCAGTATTTTGGTAATTTAAGTGACATTATTTACCGGAAATGTTTCAAATTTGAAGTTCGTAATAAATAGTACAGCCTAAGACAGAAAATTTTCCGTGCAGGTCCACCTCTTCGTATAGCCCCTATATAACGGTACCTCCCGATATTCGGTATTTTGATGATTTTAGCGAAATTATTCACAGCATTTTTAACATATTTTATTTATTTATTTATTTATCTATTTTTTTTTTTTTTTTTTGAAATTCGTTCCGAGTAATGGAGGGTATTGAAAGTTCGGCCCGGCCTAAATTAATGGTTTTTATTTGTTTTTTATGCCCTCAGCCATATGGCTACAGAGGGTATATATCATTTGATACGGTCAAAACATGCCTAGTCGAAATAACAGTTTTAGACAAAATCCGTTTCAGAACATTTGGAGTCGATCTAGCGATGTCCGTCCGTCTGTCTGTCTGGCTGGCTGGTGCGCACGATAACTCTCGTAGGGAGTATCCGATTTGTTCCAAACTTGGTACGTCGTAATATTTTTGTCAAGCTTAGATCGAGTTCGGAGATGGGCAATATCGGTCCACTCCTTCTGGTACCTCCTCCACAAAATGTTGAAATTTTCAAAAAAAAAAAAATTGTACAGAAAGAGAAATGATAAGCCGATTTATCTAAAACTTTGCAAATCCTAATATTTGCGTTAAAGCTATGCGAGGTGTGAAAATAGACAATGCCAGTCCACTCCATCAAGTACCTCCCCCACAAAGTATGAAAATTTGGAATAATTACAACTCTTATAAAATGTGATGTAAGAGTCCGATTGTCTTCAAATTTCACACATCCCAATATTTATATTAACCCAAGATCTGGTGTTAAGATGGAATATTTCGGTGCACTCCTTCCGGTACCTCCCCCACAAAAAAAAAAAATTGAATATCCATTAAGCTCATAAAACGCGAAATTAACATCGGATTCCATTTAGACTTGGCACATCTGATTTACAGGATCTTTAAAAAAAAAAGGTAGAGATCGGACCATTCCTTCTGGTACCTCCCCCACAAAGGGTCAAAATTTTGAATAACTAAAACGTTTATAAAATTCGAAATAAGCATCAGGTTCTCTTTATATTTCACACATCCCCTTGTGAAGATTTCGAATATCCATGAAGCACATAAAAAGCGAAATTGGCATCCTATTCCATTCAAGACTTGTTACATCCCTATATTCCCATCAACATAACACAGTCCAATATTTTATATTTTCTGTCCGATACGTCCCAATATTGTCCCATTCCTTCGGAACCTACTGCATAAGAGGTTAAACATATTATTAGTCATAAATGAAGTCAACTTTTTTTTAAATAATCGAACATTGGCTGAGGGTATACATCTGTCGGCAAAACCGACCGATACTTTCTATCTTATTTTATCTTATCTTGTCTTTTTATCTCTTCAAATTTTAGGAACTGTAAATTCCGTGGAACTTTATTGGGAAAATATATTTAATTTCCAAGACAAATCATCGAAGGCACTTGCCCATACCGGCACATGGGAAAGCGGTCTCTATGCCATGCAACACGCCAAAGAAATGATGTCCATACAGAAAAAATTAAATTGTGAAAAACTGCCGAACTTGAGTCCAAAGTTAAAGTTGAGGTGAGGTTAAATTTAATAAATTGAAAGTGGCCATTGATTTAAGAAAAAAATAATCTCTGTCATTTGTAATTAACTTCACATGGCCTATTGGCTTCGATGAAGCTGTTAATCGTAAGTTCTTTATTCTGTTTCTAATATACATTCTTTTCAGACCATTTGTACATCAAACCGAAGGCTTAAGAAGCTATTTCGTTCCATTTCCACTGACGGACCGGGTCGTTGTTCAAAGGTCTCAGCGACTGGCCTATGTTCACGAAAAGAAACGGCCAATTCAGTTTGAAATGTATATTGGTATGAAGTAAGTACACCAAAATAAGCGGATAATTTTGAGCCAATGACACTTTAATTTTTTTACCAGATCATTCTTGATGGCCTTTCTGCTACAAGTAGTTATGGTATTGGGTATAATTTTTGCTCACATCGGTTTCGTGCGTAAAATCTTTCTGAAATATCCCCATATTTTTTCGGCTGGTTTGGTAACCCAAGAAGGTCCATTGGAAGCTAATAGAAAAGTTTTGGAATTTCGTTATACACTTAAAGCCAAGGGATGGACTACGGGTACACCGGAATCCTCTGCCCCCAATGAGGAAATTGTGGTTCGAGTATCAGCCAATGATCCAGGTTATGGTCTAACAAGTTGTGCTGTATTGCTAAGTGCCAAGACCATTTTGAGGGAACAATCTTTGATGCCCAGAAAGTAAGTTTGAGCAATGGAATTTGAAATGGTAACACATTTTACCCAGTTATTTTGTCGTTTCGTTGCAGAGGCGGTGTTCTACCACCGGGATTTGCTTTTGCCAAGACCAGTCTTCTGGAACAAATTAGCAGTCATAAATCCGGTTTAAAATTTGAAGTGATAAAAAAATAAACATTTTTTGAGATAAATTATTTTTTTATTTTATATTTTCTTACATTTTACATTGTTATTTAAATAAATATTCTTTTTTATATTTCTGTGAAATATAACCTTGTTTTAGATGTGTTGATCGGTGACCTGGTTATTGGGAATTATGTTTTAAAAGGTATATGTATTCTTAAACCAGATTTTTTTTCAACAGATCATGTAATTACACTTAGAAACACTAATAACACGTTTACATTGGGGGATTAATTTGTCTAATCTAAATTTATTTAAAAAGTCTAAAAGACAACATATTGTTGTCTAGAATAGTTGGTATTGAAAATTAGATATAACGTTACCTCCCGATATTCGGTATTCTGATGGTTTTAAATACATACATTAAATGTTGTACAGGGTGAGATAATAAAAACTGCAACAAAGTCAAACGCCATAATTCTTACATTTTTTTTTTAATTTTATTAAATGAAAGCAATCAAGTAAAAAAAACATTAAGTCCGGCCGGGCCGAATTTTTAATACCCTCCACCTTAGGGTAATGGAAACACTAGAACCAATTTTTAGACATATTCGTGGGAAAATATGGCAAAAATTATCAAAATAACGAATATCGGAAGATACCGTTATATGGAAGCTTTACCGAAACGTGGTACCGCTATAAAGGGCTATACAAAAAAGTAGACCTATACAAACAATATTTCCCCACCGGCGCACGAACCCGTTATGACCAATAAATACCAATTTTTAGACAAATTCATGAAAAAATTCGCAAAAATCATCAAAATACCGAATATCGGGAGGTACCGTTATATGGAAGCTATATCAAAGCGTGGACCTATACATGCAAAGTTTCGCCACAGGAGCTAGAACTCATTATGACCCACAAATACCAATTTCTAGACAAATTCATGAAAAAATGTGGCAAAAATTATCAAAATACCGAATATAAGGAGGTACCGTTATATGGGGGCTATATCAAAGCGTGGACCTATACATGCAATGTTTCGCCGCACGAACTAGGACCCATTATGACCTACAAATACCAATTTTCAGACAAATCCGTGGAAAAGTGTGGCAAAAATCATCAGAATACCGAATATCGGGAAGTACCGTTATATGAGGACTATACCAAACCGTGGACCGATATATCTCATTTTCGATACCAACCATCCTAGACATAATACAAATTATTCTGCTATATGTTGACGCTATACGTCAAGTAATGTGGGCTGTATCGTGATTTCAACAGACGGACATCGTTAAATTATCTTAGAATTTTATGCTGATTATGAATATATACAGGGTGAGATAAAAAACTGCAACAAAGTCAAATTCCAAATGTTTTACATTTTTTTTAAATTTTATTTAGTGAAAGCAAAAAATTTCGGAAATAGCATCAAATATTGAATAAATTTAGATTTGTTTGAATTTGTCACCTTTGGCTCTAACGATGGCACGAAACGGCCAATGAAAACGTCACACGCTGTCCGAATGTTGATCTGCGGTATTTTGGATCAACACTTTGGTATTTTTTAGTACCAACCATGCTCCAGACAATAACCCAACGACGCGGGGTTCGATCAAGTCGCTTCTTTACTTTTCCAACCATTTCTGCTGATGTTGCTTTTTTCTTCCGTCCCTTTTCTTGATGTCGGGGCTACGCTACCAGTATCACTGTAACGAGCGATGGTACGAGACACAAAAGACTTATTCATATTTAAATGCTGGAGTGCTTGGTTGGTTGGTTGCAGTTTCTTCATCTCACCCAGTATATACTTTATGGGGTCTACGACGAATATTACAAACGGAATGACAAAGTTAAGATACCCTTCTTTTCGAGGTGGAGGATATAATTAGAAAGGTGAGTTAATTTCAAATAAGCATATCCATCTCTGCATTTCCTGTAATTTACCTTGTCGGATTTCTCTGTATAGGAAACAGGTTCTCATGTCTGATTTATGTATGAACAATGGATTTATAAAATACATTTTAACAATGAAATGTTGTCAAATGAATAATTTTGAAAAAAAATGTAAATATATGATTGCATTATTTCACCCTCTTTATTCTACCATGAAATGAGCAGTAAAACAATTATTTCGAATGAATCTCAAAAAATACACCAAAACACTGTTTCCATCTTATAAATATTAAATAATTAAATATTTAATAGTAGATTTGAGTGAAATGAATTGTTGTCACTCAGACCATGAATTGTCACTCAGACCATGAATTCTGTCTATGTTGTTATTAACATTTTAGAGGTTAACGAAAAGCTTCTGTTTGTTAAAAGCTCAGTCTGAGCTCTTTAATTGCCCAATTTAGAGACACAAAGTTGGAATGCATCGACTGACAATTGTGAATGCATATTTTTTATATAAAATATAAATTAAATTTTATTTTGTTTAAACCGGTATTTGAGGCTAGAACTTGACTAAATACTAGAAGTGAAGGAGAAATGGTTAGCTTAGAACGCAGTTTCGATAATTATGGAATGATAATTATACCCTACAAGGGGTGTGTTATAAAAACGCTTTAACCCAATGTTTGTAATATATTGGAATACTACAATACATTTACTAGATGAATGGTATATTGTTATTCCGTTTGTAACTTTTCAAAATAATCAAAACGGAAATAAAAAAATATAAATGGAAGATGCTAAATCTTAAAGGAGGTCGTTTCCAAAAAGCATTATAAGCTCCGGTACTGTTGCCAGAAACATTTTTCTTTTTTAAGCTTTCTCTGTCTTTTGTTTCTCTGTCTTCTGTTAGATTTTTTTGTAAAAATTAGTGACGGCACTACCTATTCAAGATACCATGGGTTTAGCATTACTCAGTTTGAAGGCTACAACTATCCGAATTATTTGCAATTTGATTATTTTATTTGTGCCGATGTAGCTTTGACCAGATTTTCTCACCGAATTGAGGCAATTTGGTATGACTGGTTCTTGGTGGTCGACTTTAAAGTCTCGTTTCAACTTCCTTGCTAAACCGATAAATGATTGCTAGTTTCCGAATAAAAATGCCTTTATAACCAAAGTGATTTCTTGGGTAGGGGATAATTGTAGTCGACTTCAGCAACCACTGCACATATATATTTACTTTTAATTGTAGGTATTTTGTTTGAAATGCAATAATGTAGCTGCAAATAATTTTTGTGGACTTTGTTAGATTTTCACAAAATTACTCTCCAGCCAGTTTAGTTTCTATCCAAATCTTAAGCTGTTAACACAACGTCAATCAATGTTTGTAGTATGAGCGGAGAAAAATTAGATGCGATTATTTTCGGTGCAACGGGTTATACGGGACAAATTGTGGTGGAAGATGCTATTGAAATTTTGAAAGATTTCAAGTGGGGTTGTTCATAAAACTATGAACATGAAAGACTGCTGCAATAAATTAGATCGTTAAGTGATTTAGGCTATAAAATGTTTATGTAATTTTAACCCAACATTCTAGAGTACTTGTAAATGTGTGTGCATGAAAGATAAGAGCATAAGGGATGATAACACTTCATGCTGCTGGAGACGCATTGATAATAAAGAATATTCTCCCATAAACATGCGCTCAGCTGGGGAGTAAATATAGATCACAGCAATTGTGTGTTGCATTAGGCCTATGCATAGAATTAGAAATGTCAAGTGTTTGTAGCCTTAAGTAGATGCATAAGATTAAACCCCCCTAAGATTTCTGTTGTGTACTAGCACTTAAGTAATACATTTTGTTCAATAAAATTAGAATTAAACTGACAAACGAACAAACAAGTTCTAGAATTTGATTCTCCCGCTAACATTGGTCCTTCGACAAAAAAAAACCAGCGGCCACAAAAATATATTTCAAAAAAAAAAAGAGAATTATATTTTTGTAAAAAAAACAAAACAGAAAAAAAAGCCATAGGGGCAAAACAAAAAAAGCCATAGGGGCAAATAAAAAACAAAAAAAAAAAGCCATAGGGGCAAAACAAAAAAAAAAGCCATAGGGGCAAATAAAAAACAAAAAAAAAAGCCATAGGGGCAAAGAAAAAACAAAAAAAGCCATAGGGGCAAAGAAAAAATCAAAAAAAGCCATAGGGGCAACAAAAGCAAAAAAATAAAACAGAATAATTTTGAAAAAAGCCACAGGGGCATTAAAAGAAAAGAAGCTAAAACTACAAATTTTACTTGCTTCACAAAACAAGGAAAAATGGCGTCGAGACATAACTTGTATAAGCTCCAAAGCCTACTCCTTAAAGAAGTAATTGGGATTAAGGAAAAACTGCAAGCAGGCATGGTTCGGAAAGCAGCCATGGGTGACACACTACGATCCCTGGAAAGCAAAATGAAGGAAGCCACTACGAACCACGAAATGCTGAGAGTGCATGGCGAAAACACTGATCCCTATTTCAAAGAAAATGTTTGGGATCTCATCAACTTGAACTATGGAAAAGCAAAGGAACTCCTAGCGAGTTTGGAAGAAGAGGTCGAGCGAGAACCGCAAAGGGTAATAAAAGAAGCAGAGCCCGAAGTGCATGGGCTAATGCTCGATCAACAGTTAAAGGCCTTCCAAGAGGAAATGCAACAACAGATGCAACAACAAATGCAACAATTTATGTTGATGTTCGAGAAGAATAAAAGAGAAAATGAGGAAGAAAGACAAACCCATATAGAATCATCACCAATGGGCAATCAGGCGAATATAAAAGTAAGCGCAATCATCTACCAATTCAGGAAAAAAGTAAACAAACTCGCCGATGCCGTTGAATGCGATTTAGCTGGACTATCAAAATATGCTTTGGAGTACATGAAGTCATCGTGGGAGAAGCATATGGATGAAATTAGGAAATTGCATCTCGAGCTCTCAACGGTGCATGGAATGGAAGAGGTAGATCTCGAATTTGAAGAAATTGAAGAAAAGTTTGAGAGCAAAATGCAGGATATGATAAGAAGGATAGATGGTCTTAAAGAGGAGTCACTGGAAGTAGAACTAAAAAGAGTTCAAATACCATCCTTTAGTGGTCATGTGGAAGAGTGGAGTTCATTTCACGATTTATTTAAAAAGATGATTGATGAAAACTCCAAATTATCAAAAGTTCAAAAACTGTACTACCTCAAGACAAATCTAAAAGGAGAGGCATTTCGCTTGGTGCAACATCTTCAAGTGACCGAGGCAAATTATGAAGCAGCATGGGAATTACTGGAAAAAAGATATGGCAACAGGAGAATTTTATTCACTAAATTGGTAGATAGAATACTGGACCATCAAAACATCAACAGCCTGTCAGCAATAAGCATAAGAAATTTGCTGGACAATGTAAATGAAAGTATTCAGGCGTTGAAAGCAATGGATATTCCCCTAGAGCAAGCGGATCCCATTTTAGCCCGAATAATTATACGGAAACTGGATAAGGATGGGCTTATTCTTTATGAGCAGAATGTAAAGAAATCCAAGGACATCCAAAAACTTGAGGATGTGATGGACTTCCTGGAGCAGCAGTTTCAAGCCTTGGAAGCTTCAGTAGGCAGAAAACACAATAACATAGGACTGTACAAACTCCAAGAAAAATCAGCAGTGGTAGCGGAATTAAAACAATGTAAGTTCTGTAAAATGAGCGGACATGATATCGCATGGTGCAGAAAATTTTCGGCGTTATCTTCGAATGAAAGATACAATTGGGCAAGATCAGCACAGGTCTGCCTCAGATGCTTAAGCCACAACAAGGATAAAAAATGTTACAATGAAATTAAATGCCAGAAGTGTGGAATGAATCACATCACAGTGATGCATTTAGAGCGAAGAGGACATACGAAAGCAATGACCACCAATACAACAACAAATGTTCTGCTAGCAACAGCCCAAGTTCGTATAAAATCACTGCATGGAGAATTTGTAACAGTCAAAGCGCTGATAGACCAAGGATCACAAATTACATCCATATCAGAGGACGCGGCTCAACTGTTGCAGCTACCAAGGAAGAAGACAGAAGTGAGGTTACAAGGTCTAGGAGAGACCCTAGTTGGCGTGGCGAAATCTAAAGTTGCACTGGAACTACGACCCAGATTTTTGAGCAACATAATGATTAAGGCAGAAGCACTAGTCCTTCCAGCACTTGCATCAGCACATCCCGACAGAAGGTTTCAATATGACGTGGATAAATGGAGAAATGTAAATTTGGCAGATCCAAATTTCAACAGCCCGGAAAGAATCGATTTAGTCATTGGAGCCGATCTTTACTCACAAATATTGGAAGAAGGAGTTCGCCACGATGAGCAAATTGTGGGACAAAATACGAAGTTGGGTTGGATTTTATCTGGAACAGTAGTAGTAAATCCTGGATTGAACATAAAGAAATCGGCAGCAACAACAACAATTGAGAGGTTCTGGGAAATAGAGGAAATAGAAGATGAAAAAACGACCGAAGAAGACGAATACTGCCTTAAGTTATATGAAGACACAACACGCCGAGACAATTCAGGAAGATTTGTCGTGCGTTTGCCGTTAATTGAAGAAAAAGATTTGGGAGATTCATATAAAAGAGCCATGGCGAGGTTTATAAACTTGGAAAAAAGATTAGAAAATAATGCGGAATTAAAGTCAGAGTACGAGAAAACAATGAACGAGCTCATATCCATGGGCCAAATGGTAAAGGTGGACCCAAGTAAGAAGGCTTTGTATTATATGCCGCACCAAGCAGTGGTACGTGAAACAAGTCTAACCACAAAAGTTAGAGTGGTATTTGATGCTTCATCGACAACTTCAAATGGGAAGTCGCTGAATGACATACTTCACGTGGGACCAAGGCTTCAAAAAGATATATTTGACATTGTAACAAAGTGGAGATCGTGGAAGTTTGTCATCTCAGCTGATGTGGAGAAAATGTTTCGTCAGATTAAAGTTGAAAAAGAAGACCAGGAATACCAACATGTGTTGTGGAGGAGTAATCCGTCGGAGCCTATCCAACAATATAAACTTACTACGGTAACATATGGCACTGCATCAGCACCATTTCTGGCTGTAAGATCGCTCATAGAAATTGGAAATAGGTGCCAGAATCAAGAAATCGCTCAGAGGATCAAAGAAGATTTCTACATGGACGACCTTTTAACAGGAGCGAATACAAAACAAGAATGCAGGGAGGTGCAGAAGAAGATAACGCTGCAACTGGAGGATTATGGGTTTCATTTAAGAAAATGGATATCAAACTCTCCTGAAGTATTGAGTGCGGTGAAATTGAATGAAGAAAATGAAGTGCTGAGAATAGAAGAAGATGAATGCTTGAAAACATTGGGATTACAATGGAATCCACAGATCGATTGCTTTACATTTAGTATGCAAATTAAAAAAGAAGACAAGTTGACAAAACGAATAGCATTGTCAAGACTGGCACAAATATTCGATCCATTAGGTTGGCTGACGCCAGTCACGGTAACAGCAAAACTATTTATACAGCAGTTATGGATACAACAAATAGAATGGGATGTGCCATTGGAGGAGAAATTGAGTGGAGATTGGCGGCAGTTTACATACAGTCTGCCTGCTTTAGAAAATTTAAGGATTCCAAGATGGTTTGGAATATTGGAAGACAAAACTGCACAGTTACATGGGTTTGCAGATGCTTCCGAGAAGGCTTATGCAGCAGTCGTATACCTTAAGGTAAATTCGCAGGTGACCATAGTGGCTGCAAAAAGTAAGGTAAATCCAGTAAAAAATAGGAAGACGCTTCCAAAGCTGGAACTTTGTGCAACACATCTATTGGCTAAACTACTACAGAAGATCAAAGGAGTATTGAAGTCAGCAACACCAACTTTTGCTTGGAGTGATTCCATGATTTCCTTGGCATGGATTCACAACTCCAAAAACAAGGATAAGTTCATAAAAACAAGGGTGATGGATATTTTGGAGAGAATACCCGAAGCGAAATGGGGCTACGTCAAGTCAAAGGAGAATCCAGCAGATATGGGTTCAAGGGGTGTCCCACCGGAGACTTTGACAAACAATACATTGTGGTGGGAAGGCCCCGAATGGCTGAAAAAAGATGAACAAGATTGGCCAAAAAGCAACATAAATCAAACAGTAGCAACAACAGTAAAGTTTTCGACTGAAAACCACTTATATGAAAGTATGATGAAGTATTCGTCATTTAAGAAACAGATACGTGTAATGGCTTATCTACTGCGTTTTATAAAAGGGCTAAAAAAGAAGCGAGCAGTAAATGAGCATTTGACGGCAAAAGAGTTGGAAGAAGCAGAGATGGAGATAATAAAACTACATCAAGAAAGAGAATGGCCAGTGGAACTAAGGAAATTGAAGACATTGGGAACGGTGGATCATCAAAGTAAAATAGCTTCACTACATCCACAGTTGGATCGAAATGGCATAATGCGGGTTGGTGGAAGACTTGCTTTGTCAGAGCTGAACTATAACCAAAAGCATCCAATAATTATTCAAAAGTCAAGATTAGCGGGAAATATCATTCGAAATTGTCATATTCAAACGATGCATGGAGGAAATCGACTTATGGAAAATATACTAAGACGAAAATATTGGATTATTGGAGCTAAAAATAGGATAAAACTTTGCATTAGGTGTTGTCCAAGATGTACGCGCTTTAGAGGTGAAGTGCGAAATCAATTGATGGGAAATTTACCAGCTTACCGTGTCAGTATAAATCAACCCTTTCAACACTGTGGCATTGATTATGCGGGTCCGCTACAAATACGGTGCTCCAAAACAAGAGGAGTGAAGGCTATGAAGGGTTACGTAGCGGTGTTCGTATGCATGGTAACTAAGGCGGTTCATTTGGAAGCTGTCAGCGAACTTACAACGGAAGCATTTCTGGCGGCGCTAAGGCGATTTTTCGCGAGAAGAGGAAAATCAACCGACTTATATTCAGACAACGGAACGAACTTCGTAGGGGCAGCAAGGCAGCTTGACAGAGACTTTTTGGATGCCGTTAAAAACAACACGAAGTTAGCTCCCATTTTGGAAAATGAAAAAATAAGTTGGCATTTCATTCCGCCGGCAGCTCCTCACGTTGGAGGAATTTGGGAAGCAGCAGTGAAGTCCATGAAATATCACCTAAAAAGAATAATTGGTGATACGAAATTGACTTACGAGGAGTTGAGTACGGTGCTATCTCAGATTGAAGCAGTATTAAATTCGAGGCCGCTACATGAACTTGGAAGCGGTACAGAATATATTGACACTTTAACACCTGGACATTTCTTAATTGGCCGTCCGATGTTAGAATCACCGGCGACTATCGATGAAGGTAACTTAGGATGTCTTAATAGATGGAAACTGCTACAACGAATTAAAAGTCATTTTTGGAGCAGATGGAAAGAGGAGTATCTAACCACATTACAAAACCGAATGAAATGGAAGAAACAAAATAATAATGTGGAAATAGGCAATGTGGTGATATTGAAAAACGAAGAAACGCACGCGGCGCGATGGCCACTGGCCAAGGTGGTAGAAGTCCATCCAGGGAAGGACGGAGTTGTAAGGATTGTGACAGTTAAAACACAAGACGGCGTGATAAAGAGGCCAATTAACAAATTATGTCCATTGGAGCATATGGACGAGGAATCTGAAGAATTGCCCAGACAGGAAAAACAGGCGGAAATTACACATACTAATATGACAAGATGTGAGCGAAAAATAAGGAAACAACCAATAACGTGGGCAATGATGCTGAACTTATTTTTACTAATATCTACCAAGGCATCATCTGTACATGAACTGAATAGTTCGGCTGCGGTATATTTGGATCCCATGTCTCAAATTCACATGGTTTCCTCATCATGGAATATGGTTGTGTACTTTGAGCTGAAACCATATTTAGAAACATTAGACCTGGCTTCCGAATTGCTGAAAACATCAAAAAGCTTATGCCCACGACTTCAAACTTTTGAGGAGCAGTGTTGGTCCACGATTAACAATATGGAACTCAAGATTAATAAGATAAAGACCAACAATCGATTATTCCTCAGAGAAGACAATCGTCAAAAAAGAGGAGCTCCGTTGAAATTTGTAGGTTCGTTTCAACACTGGGCATTTGGGATAATGGACGATGACGATCGAGTAGCTATGGAGAGCAATATGAAAAATCTATTAGCCAACCAAAAGGATTTGAAGAAGTTAGCAAAACAACAGACATCTGTAGTCGACGCTACAGTAAATCTTTTAAGGAAAACCACAGAGGAAGTGAATTCGCACTTTTCGGATATCAAAGGCAAAATTGAGAACATAAGTGCTACAATGAATGAGAATTACTTCGTGTATAGAGAATCCATACGATTCTTTATAATAGCAAAACAAATTCATGAGCTTTTGGAAGAATGTGACGAAGTCCAAAAAGAAGTTGTTGATGCATTAATTGATGTAAACAGCGGTAAGTTTCATCCCGTCCTGATAACACCCAAACAATTACAAGCAGAGATAGTAAAAATACGAGATGCTCTGCCTGAAAAATATGTACTGCCAGGAAAGCGTACAGGAATGGAATTAAAAGAGATCTTACATTTGATGACGTGCCACGGATCGTTTGTGGGGTCCCAACTGGTAATTAATATAAAAATACCGCTGTTCAATCGGCAGTCATCCCAGTTTTACAAAGTAATTCCGATACCATTTGAAGAAGGAAATACGATATTGATAGCCCGGGTGAATTCCCCGTACATTGTATATAATTTTGAGCTGGATTCTTTTCATTTCTTAACACAGCCTATGCTGAATGAGTGCAAAGAGACGTTGGGTAAGGAGATAATGTGCGAAGAGAATTTTCCATGGAGAGATGCAACTACAAATAATTGTGAATTATCTCCTCTGAGACCGCACATAAAACTAAACTGCGCCTATGACGAAGTGGAACGAATGCCTTATTGGATGCCATTGAAACGAAATGGCAATTGGCTTTTTAAAACCTTTTCAAGTACAACAGCTCATTTGCAATGCTCTCACAAACAACAGACGATTATGGAACTTCCAAAGCAAGGAATTCTCACGCTGGATGCAGACTGTACAGCGAGGATCGGTAAAGTAACGTTGGTAGCTGTGCATAGAGTTCATAACGAGATAAACACAGAATTCCATTCGTTTCTTTTGAAGGATGTAAGTCCGGACGAAAAAGAATCAATCAAACCCCTTGGAAATATACTTATCAATCATCATCAAGAAATTGACGAGCTAAAGAAATTCGTGGACAAGTTAAAGAAAGAAAATGTGGAATTGCGAGGCTTGAAGTTCCATCACATCTCATCACACGTAGCTTTTATTTTAGTAATTATAGTAATAATAATTCTAATTATTTTATTTATAAGAAGACAGAAAAAATTAAAACGCATAACCGAAATTCAATTTCCCCGAGGCCAGGATGTCTAAATAAATTATTTGCCGCCCGGGAAAATGTTCATAAAACTATGAACATGAAAGACTGCTGCAATAAATTAGATCGTTAAGTGATTTAGGCTATAAAATGTTTATGTAATTTTAACCCAACATTCTAGAGTACTTGTAAATGTGTGTGCATGAAAGATAAGAGCATAAGGGATGATAACACTTCATGCTGCTGGAGACGCATTGATAATAAAGAATATTCTCCCATAAACATGCGCTCAGCTGGGGAGTAAATATAGATCACAGCAATTGTGTGTTGCATTAGGCCTATGCATAGAATTAGAAATGTCAAGTGTTTGTAGCCTTAAGTAGATGCATAAGATTAAACCCCCCTAAGATTTCTGTTGTGTACTAGCACTTAAGTAATACATTTTGTTCAATAAAATTAGAATTAAACTGACAAACGAACAAACAAGTTCTAGAATTTGATTCTCCCGCTAACAGGGGTATTGCGGGTAGAAATGAGGTATGTAGCAAAATGAATTGAGTTTATTTGGAATTAAATGAGTTTAAATCTTCGAAAAACTGATTATCTACTTACAGACCAAACTCAAAGAAGTATTGGAAAAAATAAGTAAACGTACGAATCGAGATCTAAGTCAAATTCCAGTTATTGTGGCCGATGTTGGAGATGAAAAATCCATTGAGAAAATGGCTAAAATGTGTAGGGTAAGACAATATTATTAACATTTCTGTAGCATGGCTTTTAAAGGATTTTACATGTCCTTAGAAAATGATATATTTTTTGAGTCCTCAAGATAAAATGGGTAATATGTATATATTATTTTTCGAATCCAAAATATTTAAATGAAAAATTGAATCTATCAAAAATCCCGTAAATTATATTGTTAACAAGGTAGCAAAACAAGTTGATTAGCATTTCTTATTAAAAAACGAAATAATTCGCCGAATAATTTATTATGTCGAAAAAAGACAATAAGTGTCCAGCAAAAATGTGAGAGCAGCTTGAGCCGAATGCATTAGCAGAAGGTTAAAACTACCAGTAAAAACAAATAACTTTATTGTCATTACCAGGTAATGAGTTATGTGGGCACAGGATGTAAATGTCGAACTACAACAGCGAAGGGATGAAAGTTCGGGACTCGGAAAATTTGGAAATTCTCTCTTTTGGTATCCTACGCCATACTGTGGTACAGGATATTATGTCTTTGCCCCTTTTAAGAATCTCCAAATTTTTTTTTAAAAATTTCCATAGAATCATTTTCAGAGTCGATATATGAATGTTCGTCATTCGGTCTGTCCGGTCGGTCTGTTTATTACCCCATTGAGATGACATTGTTTTCACATCAGTTGTTGGAATTTATTTCGGTAAGGTACGTTTTGGCCGTTTCAAATGGTATATACCTCTGTTGTCATATTACTGACAACAGAGGTACTCTTTCATAAAGTTGCTGAACAATTCCTGCATGGAAAGTTACCAGACAGACCTGTTGCGTTTAAATACAAATCAAAAGGTTTAAAAATGAAAAAGTTGATTGTAAAAACAAGTAAAAAAAGCAGTAAGTTCCGCCGAGCCGAACTTTAAATACCATCCACCATTTGGAACGAATGTCGATATTTTCGAAAAAATAAAATCCGTTAAATATTCTGTTAAAATCTTAAAAATAATAAATATTCACTATTTATTATTTTATATTTATAAAATTTATATTTATATAACCTTTATATTGGGATCTATACAAAGAGGTACCGTTATGTCGAGGATATACGAAGACCTGCACCTACATAGACAAATTTCTGTCACGGGCTGTAGTACCTATTATGAACTTCAAATACGAAACTTGAAAAAATTGGGTGAACATTGTATCTAAAATAGTCGGAATACCGAATATAGGGAGCTAGTGATATATGGGGCCCATACGAAGACCTTTACCTGCACATCCAACTTTCTGGCATATTCTGCAGTTACCCTTACGAACTCTAAATACGAAATTTGAAACAACTCAGATGAATAATGTCGCTAAAATCATCAAAAAAACACGGAACATTGGGAGGTACAGTTATTTAGAGGCTATACGAAGACCTGGACATGCATAGTCAATTTTCTGACACAGGGTGCTACACCCATTACGAGCTTATATTACGAAATTCGAAACAATTCTGGTGAGCAATGTCGATAAAACTATCAAAATACTGAATATGCGGAGGTACAGTCATATGGGGGCTATACCTAAACGTGGACATATTTATAGCCCAAAAGTCCTGCAGAACAAACACACATCTGAGTAAAATTTTATCCACCAACCTCAATTCTTTCGGAAGCTGGAGCGATTTCCACAGACGGGTCATCGTTAAATTGAAAATTCGTGGGTAAATGTGACTAGGATTATCAAAATACCGGAGTATTGTTATATATGCGCTATAGGAGAACGAGGACCTAAATATTCAATGTTCTGCCACCGGAACTAGAACCCATTATGAACTACAAATAACAATTTTTTAAACAAATTCGGGGAAAAATGTGGCAAAAGTCATCAAAACATCGAATATCGAGCGGTGAGTTATATGGGGGCTATACCAAAACGTGAACCCATATATACTATGTTTCGCCACCGGAGCTGTGCTACACTGAATGAAAATCGAACATTGATTCCATACTTTAATAAATTTGTATTGTTGCTTGCAAAATTGCATCTTTTTGTGGAGGACATAAATTTGGCAAAAATATAACAAGTTTGGACCAAATCGAATACTTTTTTTTATTTCAACCCACTGTGCAACACTCTTAATCGTCTGTTGTCATATAGAGCCCACTTCCAATCGGAGAGAATGTTAAGAATTCAAAATGTCAATTAGTCGATTTTTTTTCACTGACTACCCAAAACATATAAAAAGCCATGTCAGATCCTTAACAAAACTGCCGAATTGGCTGTTACAAAAGATGAAAGAAATAGGTTTTTATGGCCCAAAATTAGCCTACTAAATAGTCTCATTATCAAATAAGACTTATCTACTTTTTCTGTATAATGGTTCGCATTATAGATCGTTCTCAACTGTTGCGGGCCCTATTATCTTTACGGAGAAATTGTTGTCAAGGCATGCGTCGAGGCCGGCACTCATCATGTGGACCTGAGCGGTGAGCCACAGTATATTTCGGCGATGCAATTGAAATATCAGGATTTGGCCCAATCGAGTGGATCTTACGTGGTGTCGAACTGTGCTTTTGAAAGTATTCCAGCCGAGTTGGGTGTTCTATACGCTGAGAAGAATTTTCCCGGTGAGTTTGCTCAAAGTATTATATGTGTATTTTAGCCAGATAATAAATATAAATCCTCTTTGTGCTAATCCAATGCGGACAAAATTGTTTTTCTCAAATACACATGTCGTTTTGTCTATTTTAGGAACTGTCAACTCTGTTGAGTTGTATTGTACTCTCGAGCCGAACTATCAGGATACCACATCGAAAGCTCTTCTTAATAGCGGTACCTGGGACAGTGCCATCTACAGCATGCAATATGCCCGAGAAATGTGGAGGTTGGAGAGAAAATTGAATAAGGAGAAACTGCCAAGATTGAGACCCAAGTTGTGGATGAAGTAAGTTTGGGAAGTTTTTTAAAAATATAAACCATTACTCTGGGTTGTTTTTATACCCTCCACCATAGTATGGAGGGTATATTAAGTTTGTCATTCCGTTTGTAACATCTCGAAATATACATTTTAGACCTTTAGACATTTTAGTATATATATTCTTGATCAGCATAAAATTATATGTCGATTTAGTGATGTCCGTCCGTCTATCTGTTGTAATCACGCTATCTTTCGATATACCACGTTTTGTTATAGCCCCCATATAATGGTACCTCTCTATTTTCGGTATTTTGGTGATTCAAGCGACATTATTCACCGGAATTGTTTCAAATTTGGCATTTAAAGTCCGTAATTGATACTACAGCCTAAAACAGAAAATTGTCTATGCAGGTCCACGTCTTCGTATAGCCCCCATATAACGGTACCTCCGGACATTCGGTATTTTGATGACTTTAGCGACATTATTTGCCGGAATTGTTTCAATCTTTGTATTTAAAGTTTGTAATGGATACTACAGCCTAAGACAGAAAATTGTCTGTGCATGTCCATGTCGTCGTATAGACCCTTATATAAAGCTACATTCGGTATTTTTAAGATTTTAACAGATTTTTTTAACGGATTTTATCGTTTTTGAGAATTGCCAAATTCGTTCCATATGGTGGAGGGTATTCAAAGTTCGGCCTGGCCGAACAGTTTTTTTACCTGTTTAAGTTTTATATATTTATCTTAATTTTCTTACAGACCCTACGCCCATAAAATCGAAGGCAGCAATAAATACTATGCTCCCTTTCCCATCACTGATCAACCGGTGGTGGAGAGATCACAGCGATTGTTTTATGTTCAAGTTAATAAAAGGCCCATACAATTCCAAATGTATATCGGATTTAAGTAAGTAGTACTCATCTAACCGATTTAGAATCTTTGCTGTTGAATAAAAATCTTCAACTTTAATAAAATCTTTCCCAGATCGCTATTTTTGGCTATAGTATTTCCACTTTTCCTACTGACCATTGCCCTGATGGCTCAATGCGGCTGTACGCGCAAACTTTTGTTCAAATACCCACATTTCTTCACACGCGGTACAATGACCCACGACGGACCAACTGAAGTGAATCGGAAGGTTAATGAATTCATATACATTCTGAAGGCAAAGGGCTGGACAACTGGTACCCCAGAATCTGAATCACCAAACAAGGAAGTGACGGTGCGTGCCTCTGGCAAGGACCCCTGTTATGGTATCACCAGCACCTGTTTGTTGATGTGTGCCAAGGTCATTTTACAGGAACACCAGAAAATGCCCGGAAAGTAAGTCAACTAAGTAATCCAAATAAAATAATTGTGTAATTGTTCATTTCCTTCTCTCATTCTTGTTTTTATCTTTTAATTTTGCAGTGGTGGTGTTTATCCACCTGGTTTTGCATTTGCCAAAACGCAATTGCTCGACGAGCTTGGCCGCTGTAAATCTGGTTTGAAATTTGAAGTATTGAAGCAATAAAACAAAAATGTTCGAAAAAAAAATGTTATTTGTTTCTTTCTTGTTGTGCATTTTCCTGCGCATGCGAATTGTTGTGAGACATTCATATCGAATTTCCATAATCATAATCCGCCTTGATCGGCGCCACACAGTTTAGTCGGATGTCGAATGGTGAGTGCGCACGCGTATCTATCTTTCGAAGACAATTACTTAGGCCGCTAGTTGTTGTACTCACCGGTTGGGTGCTGGGCTGCTACTGGAGCCGTCGACATTTGTAGCTGTCGCCTTAACTACATATCTGACCGAGCGACTGATCGTCCGACCGACAACAAGTTTTGTTTTGTTTTGCATTATCTGTCAGTTTTAGTTTTCAACGATTATTAATTGTCCGTCTCAATAGATTTGAGTTATTTTCTCATTTTAAATGCAATATCAATATCGGCGGACAATATCCAGAAATTGCACTAAATCAATAGAAAGTCGAGAGAAAAATTGTAGCATAATGAACTGAAATAACATTATCATATAAATGACATTTATTCGGAAGAGGATAATATATAGATTTCCCGATTTCAAAGCTTGCCTAGACTTATGTAGAATCAATTTCCTATTAAGATAGTTTTTAGACTAAGGTGAAGCTTTATTCAACGTGGGCACTAAATCCTTCGTCTTTGATTCTTTATTATTGCTCCGTAAAGGGCTAAGTACATACGAAGCTTGAAGTCATGGCTAGGCATATTTTGTGACATTTCACAAAGGGATTATAGAGCCGCACTAAAATCCAGCCGTCGTTTTCCATTATAATATGCCTAGCCATGACTTCAAGCTTCTTATGTACTTAGCCCTTTAAGGTATGTTCCTCATTCTGTGATTTCTCAGCATACATTTTATTCCGAATTTCCGAAATCGGTCCGAACGCTGCTGAAATTTTCGATTCTGATTCCGAATTCCTTTCGATTTCGGTATAAAAGTTGTATGAATGTGGTCACTTAAAGCGGAATTTTTTTCAAAATCGATCTAATTTCTAGAAGACATCTAGAGAAATCGGCAAATTGCTAGTTGGATTACTATGAAAAGAAATGTTCTAATGTAGTCAGATGTTGTAGTAGGCATGTTGTGTGTTCTAAGCTTAGAGTGGAAGGCTCGGTATTACCTTTGTCTATGAATTCGACGCCATTAATAATTTTCTATTCTTATTATTTTGTGCAATACAAATGCTACTTCTTACATTGTTATACCCTCCACCATACTATGGAGGCAATATTAACTTTGTCATTCCCAACAAAGTATATATATTCTTGATCAGTGTAAAACTCTAAGTCGATTTAGCAATATCAGTCTGTCTGTCACGCTATCTTTTGAACGAATTGAGATAGAATGCTAAAATTTGGCACACATGTTAATTTTTCAACGTTTCCAGGTCCACGTTTTCATATAGCTCCCATATAACGGTACCTCCCTATATTCGGTATTTTGACGATCTTAGGGAAATTATTCACCGGGATTGTTTTAAATTTGGTATATGAAGTTCATAATGGGAACTACAGTCTGTCTGACAGAAAATTGTCTATGCCGGTCCAGGTCTTCGTATAGGCCCCATATATCAGTACCTCCCTATATTCGTTATTTTGACGAGTTTAGGTACAAAACCCACCGAAATTGTTTGCGATGTCGTATTTGAAGTTCGTAATGGATGACAGCCTGTGACAGAAAATTGTCTATGCTGGTCCAGGTCTTCGCACTGCTCCGATATAACGGTATCTCCCTATATACGATATTTTGATGATTTGAGCTACATTATTCACCGTTTATTTCAAGTTTCGAATTTGAATATGGTAATGGCTTATAACAACAAATGCCTGTATAGGCCCACGTCGTATAGAACCCAATATAACGGCTATATTCGGAGTTTTTATTTTTTGAAAATCTTCAAATTCATTCCAAATGGTGGAGGGTATTCAAAGTTCCCCCCGGCCGAACTTACTGCTTTTTAACTTATTATTCCCTCCACCTCGAAAAGGAGGGTATATCAACTTTGACATTCCGTTTGTAACATCCCTAAATATTCGTCGTAGACCCCATAAAGTAAATATATTCATGATCAGCATTAAATTCTACGTCCGTCTGTTGAAATCACTATACAGCCAACATTATTTGACGTAGAGTTTCAAGATTTGGCAGAACAATTTGTATTGTTTGTATGATGATTGGTATTGAAAATGAGATATATCGATCCACGTTTTGGTATAGCCGCCATATAACGGTACCTCCCGATATTCGGTGTTTTAACGACTTTCGTCGTATCTTTTTTCGCGGATTTGTCTAAAAATTGGTATTTATAGTTCATAATTGATTCTAGCTTCGGTGGCAGAACATTGAATATTTAGGTCCATGTTTTCCTATAGCGCACATATATCGATACCCAACGATATTCGGTATTTTTATAATCCTAGTCACATTTACCCACGAAACTGTTTCAAATTTGGTATTTAAGAAGATTTGGTTGATGACAATCCTTAAAGTATAAAATTTTCTAAAGAGGTTCTCGTTTTGGTATGGAACCCATACAAAGGGTCCCCATACGAGGGTCAGTCTTGATGCGTAGTCATGTGATAAGGCTGGTTTTTGGAAATTCGTACTGAAAAGGTCTCTGATGGAGTGTAGGATGTACTAAAGGATTAAAAATTCGTACTTTAATGTTACGAAAAATTTTAAAACAATACTAAACTTCTAAATGGTACCATTTGGTATTATGTAAACAGATAGTGTAATTGAAATATGGAGGTGGTTTTGGACATGTGTACAACAAGTGCACGAAAACTAGTAAATAGTACTATATTTGGTACAATTTGATGTTGGGTGAACAGATAGTGCGCGGAATTTGAAATTTTATATTGGGGTCGATGTTCATGTGTAACCTGAACTAAAAATTTGTACTATAATTGTATGAAGAGTACAAAGTGGTACTAAATTGGGTATTGAATCTGGGGATAGAGCTGAAATTTGATATTAAAGTCCCTGTTGGTATCTGAGGTTCAGATATGGCAATTGTCTTGAAAATGCGTACTATAATTGTTCGAAAAATACTAAATAGTACTAATTTTGAATCACTGTTGGTGTCTAGGATGGAGAGATGTACATTGTTTTGGATATACGTACTTCATGTTACTATAGTTTGTATTGGGTGAAGAGATAGAATTGAAACTCTGAAATTTGATGTTGGGGTCATCGTTGCTTCCTAAGGTTTACATATGGAGACGTTAAAATAATTTTGGACAGAAAAATTGAATGTTCAACGATTTTATTAATATTATCCTCGGCAAACTTCAAAATGAAAGATTTTAAGGATTATTTGGATTAAAACGTAAACATTTTCCTATTATTCTTTCCGAACTAAAGAAAAATCAATTTAAAAAACCTTGAAAGTCTGAAACTTTAGTACATTGTGTGCAGTTTTGATTAAAACAATTTTGTCAATCTAAACAAAATGTGCAGTTTGAGCCCTTATTAGGCCTTACACGAAATGTTGGAACGAATCTAAAATTTTGAGGTGGATTTTTGGCTAACGAAGTAGCGGGCACTTGCTAGTCCTATATAAAGATTTTTTGAAGTATATCCAATTTATTTCCACTGGGTATATTTAATCTATATAAACAAACTGGTATTTTAGTTTGTCCGGGCCGAACTTTTAATACCCTCCTCCACGAGTTAAGGAAAAAACTAAAGGTGTTGGAAATGAATATTGCCACTGAAATCGGTTGGTAAAGTCTTTGCTGCTAAAGCGGCTTTTCTATTGCTAGTTTTAAATACCAAATTTGAAAAAATCTGTTATAAAAGGTCGATAAAATAATACCGAATATCCGAATGTACGGAAATATGGGGACTATAGGAAAACAATTACAAATACCACCTGCTTATGCTATTGTTTGCTTTTTGAAGAGAATTGAAAGGTCATTTTTTCCCAAAACATTTACTACATGGTTTACATTTTTTTTTGCAAGCAAATCATTTTATTATTCAAAATATCACCTGTTTCGCATTCTGTAGTCATTGCTAAACATCAACCTTCTAAAATACTACAAAAAAATTGCTACTTGGAGATGCGGGGCATCGATCCCCGTACCTCTCACATGCTAAGCGAGCGCTCTACCATCTGAGCTACATCCCCATGATGCAAGCGTTGGACACACGTTCGAACTGTTTATAAGCTTTTGCTCCCAAAAAATAAAAAGCTTTTGAAAAGCTAACACCACTCATTATTGTTGGCGCAATCTTGGGGAAATGTAATTCGCCTACAGCAATAAGACATCAGATAAAAACAACTTTTCAATATTTTATGAAGCTAACATGAATTGTTGAACACTAGTATTACACATGACTACAATAAGTTCTTGCAACAAAAACATACACGTTGTTTGAAAGTCCAACGTACAAACGTGCGTACATGTGGCACTCAGCAGCTGATTTTATTTTTACAAAAATCAATTGAAAATCAAATAAAGATGACATTTTCATCAAACTTGAATATGAAAATATTTGTTCATAATAAAAAGAGCTGTTTCCGCCCGGGTTCGAACCGGGGACCTTGTGCGTGTGAAGCACACGTGATAACCACTACACTACGGAAACCTTGAAACGACCTCTCTTTAAATATGTATATGAAAATGTACAAAACTGTTGACTATCTGAAAAAAATATATTTTTGAAAATAGGGTGAGTTATGCGATGAAAGAAAACAAATGTATAAAGATATGCACATACTCGAACACAGTTCTTAACTGTACGTATACAATGGCTGTATTATATTGGTTGTTGCTGTAAATTATGTGCAATTGTAATATTTTCGTACTTTGTTAATAGTTTTACCAGTATTTTCCAAAGCATGGATCGCGCACCACAAGTGGTCGCAAATACTATATCTGCGTTCTTAAAATCCTTGTCCCCGAAATTTCGAAAAACTCCAGTTTAGAATGCACAAAATTAACTATTTGTAAGTAGCGAGGTACGGTACCCACCCTGCCACATCTCCCAGGCCAACTTATTT